GCTTTTCCATCTTCTCTTTCCACAGATGTAGTCTATCTGATTTCTGTGTGTTCCATCTGGCGAGGTCCATGTGAGGTCCCTAGGTGGTAGAAATGGTTAATGGGCTTAACTGCAAACCAAAAGGTGGGAGATTGGAATCCATCCAGAGGTGCCTTAGAAAACAGACCTGGTGATCTACTTCCAAAAAATCAGTCATTGAAAAAACATGGAAAAGGAGGCTGGGGAGAGTCTAGTCATACAACTTGAACAGCATAGTCAGGGTCACTGAATTATACCTAGAGTGACTGTGGAATCGGTGTTACGTTCTGCTGTGTATATTTTCAAAAAAAAAAAAAAAAAAGGCCATTTCAAAATCTCTAGAGAGCACAGTTCTACTCTGACACACATGGGGGGGTCACCCTGAGTTTGACTGGACGTATGTGACATAGTGAATTATTTAATGTCTATTCTAACCACTGTCTTTGTCATTCCCACCAAACGACTTTTTCTTGGTGAATTTGGGTAAGAGAAAGTGGGGAAAGATACTGATGGATTATATGACTCAGGTATGAGAGACTGTGAAAAGGGCTAATTGTGATTTGTTAATTTTGCAACCCTGCTGAGTACAAAATGAGCCCTCAAAGAAGTAGGAGGAGGGATCCCACTACCATTGAGAAGAAAGAACCAGGAGTGGAGCATGTCCCTTGAACTCGAATCCTTTCATTGAACCTCCCAATCCAGGGACAAAATACTGTGGTAGAGGAGCAGCAGCAGCAATAGAACTAAGAGTCAGAGCACAGACAGCACAGTGGGCTTTCCAGCCCACAGAACAAGTGAAGCGGAGTGACTCTGGGCAGGAGGCTTGTTTTCAGAGTGGGGTGCCTCTAGGCACTTGTTGTTGTTGTTATTGTTAAATCTGCTGACACCTGGAGCTAGAGCAGAGTGTGTCTTCAGGCTGAGGCTTATAGTGCAATGGAGTGCCTTTAGGCATTTATCAGCAGCCCTAACAGAGTTTATATAATACTACCCAATCAGGACAGAGGCCAGGCCAAGGGCAAGAGCCAAAGAGTGACTAGCCTTCAGGCACATGAGTAGGGGCTGTCCTGACAGGAAGAACTGTGCCCTGAGCATTTCTAATCCTGAATTGTAACCTGTTAATCTCCCCAGTAAACCTCATAACTGAGTACAGTGTCTAAATTCTGTGTGGTCATTGCACCTAGCTCAGGTGAGTAGAGAGGGCTGTGGGAGGAATGTCTGGTGACATTTTTAACAAACAACACAAGACTTGGAAAAAGATCACAGAATCTAATAATGCAATGTTGTTGTTGTTGTTAAGTGCCATCGAGTCGGTTCCGACCCATAGCGACCCTGTACAGGGTTTCCGAGGGTGTAAATCTTTACGGGAGTAGAAAGCCTCATCTTTCTCCCACGGAGCAGCTGGTAGTTTCGAACCGCTGACCTTAAGGTTTGCAGCCCGATTCGTAACCACTACGCAGATAATGCAATAGAGGAAGATAATTTGCAACTGCTGGCACAGAATGCAGCAAAAGATAAATCTGTCTGGTCAAGATTTCCCAAAACTCAGCCACCAAAATAAAAAACTAAAGAGTTTGCAATACCTGAGTTTTCAGAACTAAATTGCTAGGCCTTTCTTCTAAGAGTCCTCTGGGTGGATTCCAACCTCTAACCGTTTGGTTAGCAGTCCAGGGACTCCTCTCAAGAAATGCTGGGCACCACTGAGTCCGTTCAACTCAAACCGAGCTTGTGTAAGGTTTTTGAGGCTGTAAATCTCTACAAATGCAGAAAGCCTCATTGTTCTTCCACAGAACGGCTGGTGGATTCAAACTGCTGACCTTTCGGCTAGCAGCCCACTGTGGAACCCACTGCAGTACCAGGACACCTTCTCACAGAGCTAGAAGCTCTTAAGTTACTGTGCTACCTAAAACAAAGTTCTTTTCTAGTAAGATAATAGTGTGCTTTTCAAAAACCATTTGAAGGATTTTCTAAATAAAGAACAATTGTTATTTTGAAACTCACAAGAACACAAATAATTCCAAAAATGCAACATTGTTTAGTGGCGATACATACACTTGATCATTTCTTTTTCCAACAAATGAGTTTGTTGTGGTTCAAATATTCTTTATAAACATATAAAAATCACATCATAGGCAATCGGCAAAAAAATTTTTTTTAATCTTCTGAAAATTTAAACCATAAGCCATTCATAGAAGGATTAAAGCAAAACTGAAATGTCTGAAGTGCAACAAGAGGGCTAATTCTCTAGTCATGTAGTATTTAGGAAACCTCTCTGCAAACCTGCTTCCTATCAAACTTTTATCAACTTCTTTACTTACAAAAATACATAATTTAAATAATCACCATACTTTCATTGTCAAGTCAGCTTTAATAACAGTGATAAAACCAAAATCTAAGCCCCTGAGGATACTATTTCTCATTGCTGGCTTAAGCTCTAGATCGTAAGCAGATTATCAATTGTTCTTCAAGACAAGAAATGAAAACAGATACACAAAGTCAAACAATTAGGTCAGTCAGAGTCTGGAATGCCTATTCTGAGCTTAAAGATCCTAATCAGAAAAAAAAATTAAAGAAAAACTACAAAAGGATAGAGAGAACTGGATTTCTAACATCACCTAGTGTGCTTACTAAATATACATCCTATTTGGAAAAATACATTACAGTTGTCAGAATTCTCTCTAGATCTACTCTGCTTTTTTGGGGAGTAGGAAGGGAAGGAAATGTGCTAGCGTTTAGACAGCGAACCATGAATTATCAGGCTACAAACGGCGAATGCAAAATTCACTTACACTAAATGTCAAAGCTAACATACTTCAGAAACACACAATCAGATTCTAAAGGAAAATATTTAGAAATTAAAACCAGACACCACCAAAGGAAAGCAGGAAAATTCACACTATTTTTGAGTTCTGAATTCAGAAAGCATCATTTGTCAAAAGGGTAACTTCAATCTGTTGTTAAGTGCCATGGCGTCAGTTCCGACTCACAGTGATGCTGTGTAGGGTTTCTGAGAAGTTTGAATCGCCTATTTCCATTCAAACAGACCTTAAGCTCAAGTGCTTATCCTACAGCGCCACACCAAGACACAACTTCAACCGAGAGGTGAGTAATAGGATCTTTGGGACACTGATGTCGTTGCTGTTAAGTGTCATCGGGTCGGTTCCAACACACACCGACCCTGCAACTGGGTTTCTGAGGAGCAGCTGGTGAGCTTGAACCAACAACTTTGCGGTTCAAACGACTTTGCAGTCCAGCGCCACATCAGAATTCTGAATGAATGAAGCTTATTTTACAGCAAGAAGAATGGGAAAGGAAGAGAAAAGAATAGCTGGGGCAGAAGACGTAATGAGTTTTACAAACGAGCCAAAGGGAAGAACTGAAGGTTCTGGCATCTTGAAACATGGTAAGAATATGGAAGCAGACTGGAATTTACTACGGGGGCTAGAATTTAATCAGCAGTAGTAAATCCACATTTTGCAACACCTGACAACTAATGGAAGAAATCATTTCAAAATCTTTTAGACGATTTCTTTTCTAGAAACGACTACAGTTATTAGCAAGCAAACTCTTTGTCTCAGCCAGGTGTAAAGGTAGCTAGTTCCACAAGGAAAGGCTTTGGGAGGGGTTTTTGCAGCTGGGCTAAATTTGAAACGTAGGGCCAGACTAGGTCGACTGACGAGGTTATTTCTGGGCTAACGACCCAAGCAAAGAGTTGTTTATCAAGAAAGTCCAGTCCTGCAGAACACACGCGCAGATCAGCCATGCGCTCCGCTTTCTCACCTCAGTCCCTCCTCACGCCTCACCTGGACTTTATCTCAGCAAGTCCGGTGTCTGTCTGCGGCAATATTTAAAAAACGGTTCTAAGCCTGGGTAGGAAAAACTCACTCCTGGTTTCCTAGACCCACCCAAAAAAGTGGGTAGCACCACCTTCACCCCCAGCAACTGGAAACCTCCAGGTTGAGTACGCTAAGTCCATAGAAGGCCCTCCCAAGCCAGCCCCGCGTTCTAAGTCGACACCTGGAGACTGCGGGGGGCCGGGCCTATCTCCTCCCAAGCACCCGGCTCCGCAGTGGAGGCCAGGCGGATTTTCCACTCCCAGCCCTAGGTTCCTGAAACAGTTACAAAGGGAAGTAGCCGAAGAACGGCGCTCACCGTAGCTTCAAGGCATTTCGTTCCCCGCGGCAGCGGCAGCGGCACGCCCCAGACCTTCGCTCAGTTCCGTAGGCGGCGGCAGCTCGGTCGCACCTTAGTGACGCAATGCCCCGCCCCAGCACGTTACGGAGGAGGGAGGCTGTGCCCCAGCCATTCTCTCCGGTGCTTGGCTCCGACTCTCACCGCCAGCTGAGAGGTTAGGAGTCCCGAGGAGAGCCCTCCATGAAGACTCTAGACTGGAACGGCCGGGCTGTGGGTATCGCCTGGTACACCCCTGCCCTGTGGCACCATCTGTGGATCGGAGCTGTCGAATGCTGCGCTGGCGCCAAAGGCCCAAGTTGGTCTAAGGGATTCTGAGCCACCACTCACTATGCCTCCAAGCTCCCATGATCATAACTACACAAAGATCATCTCTTGTTTATCTTGTTTATCAGCACCACCACCATGGAAAGTAACCAGCCCAACAACGGTACGGTTGTTGCGTTGATTTTTGTTGGTTGCCGTCGAGTCGGTTCTGATTCAGAGCAATTCTATGCACAACAGAATGAAACACTGCCTGGTTCTGTGCGTTTGAGCTGCTGCCACTGTTGTCAGTCCATTTCCTTGGAGGTCTTCCTCTTTTTCGCTGATCCTCCACTTTACCCTACTCCAGGGATTGGTTCCTCATGATAATATATACAAAATATGAGACTAATCTCACCATACTGGTTTCTAAGGATCATTCTGGCTGCACTTAATCCAACATAGATTTATTTGTTCTTCTGGCAGTCCGTGGTACGTTTAATATCTTTCTTCAGCGCCATAATTAATATGCACTGATTCTCTTACATCTTTGCTTTTAAACACTTTAAAGAGATCTTTTGCAGCAGATTTGCCTAATACAATATGCTTGGTTTCTTAACTGTTGCTTCCATGGGCACTGATTGTGAATCCAAGTAAAATGAAATCCTTCACAATTTAAATCTGTTCTCCATTTATTATGATGCTGATCAGTTGTGAGAATTTTTGTTTTCTTTATGTTGAGGTGTAAATTGTACTAAAGACTAGTCTGATCTTCATCAATAAACACTTCAAGTCCTGTTTCCATTAAGCAAGTAAGTTCGTGTCATCTAACATAACAGGTTGTTAATGTGTCTTTCTCAATCTCAATGCAGTAATCTTCTATACATAGTCCAGTTTTGGGGGTTATTTGCTCAGCATACAGATTGAATGTGTATGGTGAAAGAATACAACCCTAACACACACCTTTCCTGACTTTAAATTACACACTATCCATTTATTCCATTTGAACTACTGTAGCGTAGTGGTTGTGAATCGGGCTGTGAACAGCAAGGTCAGCAGTTTGAAACTACCAGCTGTTCTGCGGGAGAAAGATGAGGCTTTCTGCTCCCGTAAAGATTTGCAACCTCGGAAGCCCTGTACAGGGTCGTTATGAGTCGGAACCGACTCCACGGCACATAACAACAACAATCTTGGTCTATGTGCAGGTTCTGCATGAACAAAATTAGGTGTTCTGAAATTCCTATTTCTCACAATGTATCCATAGTTTGTTATGATCAACACAGTCAAATGCCTTTCCACAGACAATAAAGACAGGTAAACATCTTTCCAGTAGTCTCTGATGTCAGCCAAGATTTTTCTGACATCAGCAATGATATATCCCTAGTTCCTCATCCTCTTATGAATCTGGCTTAAATTTCTGGCAATTTCCTGCTGACATACTGAGGCAACTGTTTCTCAGTTATCGTCTTCAAAATTTTACTTGAATATGAAGAACTAATATCTTCTAATTCTAAAGATAGATAATACTTATTGACCAGTTACTATGTTCCAAGCCATGTTCTAAGAATTTTAAATCAGTAGTCCTAGTGTCCACCATAACATATGGCTACCTCATGTGGGTCAGAGTAGAACTAGAACTGTGCTCCGTAAGTTTTCAGTGGCAGAATTTTTACAAGTTGATCAACAGCTTTTTCTTCAGAATTACTTCTGGGTGGACACACCGTCCATCTTTTCTCTCAGCAGCTTTGCTTGTTAATGGTTTGTACCACCCAAGGACTCCTCTAAGCACTTGAAAGGTGTCAATTCATTTCATCTTTATGTAAATCCTAAAAAAGTAGGTATTATCTCCATAGGTTTAGAGTAGTCAAATAGCTTTTTCAAGGACAAACAGCTAGTTTAAGGAGCAGAGTCAAATTCAAACACAAGCCAACAGAACCCTTTCAATTTTTATCCTGAACTGCCTCAGTAAGATGGAAAAACTTCATTAGGGCCCTGTGCATGCTTATCTCCCTAATAACCAGCACACTGCCTAGTGTGTAGTAGTTGTTCAATTTTTAAACAATTGATGAATATTTGAATACTGGGGAAACTAAGAGTTTAAAAATAAAGCACTGTATATATAATGATTTACTAAACTCAAAAAAAGTCTAGTCAAATTTAATGAGAACAACAACCTAATATAGATCTGAGAAACAGAAAAACTACTCTGTACAAATTGCCTTCATTTAAATATTGTACTGGTGGTTTTAGTGAATGCAATAGACAAGAAATAAAAATAAAGCCTTCCAGATTAGAAAAGAAGTGAAACTATATTTTCAACCGGAATGCCATTTATTTATTTTATTATTTATTTATAGATGACATAATCAGTTTTGTGGAAAATACCATGGAATCAACAAAAATATGTATGTTTAGCAAAGTTTCAGGATACAAGGTCAATATACAAAAATAATTACATTTCTATATAGTGTTACCTGCTACTGAGTTGAGTCCAACTCATAGTGAGTTTTCCAGGCTGTACCGTATAGAGTTTTCCAGGTTGAACAAATTCAACTGCATTTAACAATAACAACAAATCTTTATGGGAACAGAAAACCTCGTTTTTATCCCGCAAAGTGGCTGGTGTGCTCAAACTGCCAACCTTGTGGTTAGCAGTCCAGTGCTTATTCTAAACAGAGCCACAGTACTCCCTTTTATAGACTATGGTACCATAGGAGTCCTGGTATGGCACTGTGGGTTAATGCACCAGAATGTAAAGTTGTTTGAACTGCAAGGTCGGCAGTTCAAGCTCACCAGCTGCTCATTGGAAACCCTATACAGGGTCGCTATGGCTCGGAATCGACTTGACAGCACTTAACAACAACAACAACAACTATAGGATAAGCAGTTGACCTCAAGGTCAATTTAAACCACAAGGTTGGGAGTTCAAATTCACCAACCACTCCTTGGAAACACTATGTTGTTGTTGTTGTTATGTGCCATGCCATGGAGTCGGTTCTGACTCATAGTGACCCTGTACAGGGTTTCGGAGGCTGTAAATCTTTATGGGAGCAGAAAGCCTCATCTTTCTCCCGTGGAACAGCTGGTATTTTCGAACTGCTGACCCTGAGGTTAGCAGCCTGATTCATAACCACTACGCTACCAGAGCTCCTTTGGAAGCATTATACAGGGTTACTATGAGTCAGAACTGACTCGACGGCACTTAACAATGAACAATTAGAAATTGAAATTTTAAATATGCCATTTAGCAGCAACAGAAAGACTTAAATATAAATTTGACCTATATGTGAAAGACATATAAATGTACTACAAAATATTGCTGTGAGAAATTAAATAAGACCCACTTAACAACAGCAACAAAAATAAAGAGCTATATCAGGCTTGTGGATCAGAAAATTCAATATTGTTAGGATGTCATTTCTCCCTTAATTAAACTATACATTCAAATCAATCCCAAGAAAAATTCCAGCAGATTTTTTTTTTTTTTTTTTTGGTAGAATTCACCAAGTTCATCTAGAATTTAAATGGAAATGCAGAGGTACTAGACTAAATGGAACTTTTATGCAGAAAAACAAAGTTGGAAGCCTTACACTACCTGATTTCAAGATTTACTATAAAAATCACAGTAATCAAAACAGTGTGGTGTTGGTTTAAAGACAGACAAATAGAGCAATGGAACAGAACAGAAAATCCAGAAATAGACCTATACTATAAGGCTAATTCCACCACTCGTTTGTGTGTCGTACTGTGTTGGCTATTGTGTTGATGTGACTGATGCTAGAAGCTATGTAACTAGTATTTTAAACACCAGCAGGGTCACCCACAGTGGACAGATTTTAGTAGGGCTTCTAGACTAAGACAGACTAAGAAGAAGAGACAAACCCCTTTTGAACATTTAACCACTGAAATTTTTATGAATAGCAGTGGAACATTGTCATATACATTGCCAGAATCTGAGCCCTTCAGCTTGGAAGACACTCAAAATATGACTGGAAAAGAGCTACCTACTTAAAGTGGAGTTCACTTTAATGATGTGGATGGAGTTTAGCTTTTAGAACCTTCATTTTCTGATGTGGCAAACTCAAAATGAGAAGAAATAGCTGCAAACATTGGACTGTGGAATGTATGAAGTATGAATATAGGAAATTGGAAGCTGTCAAAAATGAAATGGAACACATAAAGGTTCATATCCTAGGCATTTGTGAGCTGAAATGGATTGATATTGGCCATTTTAAATCAGAGAATCATATGATTTATTATGCTGGGGATTACAGTTTAAAGAGGAATGGCATCCCATTCATCATCAAGAAGAATATTTCAAGATCTATCTTGAAGTACAATACTGTCTGTGAACAGATAATAATATCCATACACCTACAAAGAAGACCAGTCAATACCACTATAATTGAAATTTATGCACCAGTCACTAAAGCAATTGTGATTAAATTGAAGAAGTCTACCAACTTCTTCAGTCTGAAATTGATCAAACATGTCATCAAGATGCATTGATTATTTACTAGTTTTTAGTATGAGATTAGTATAATTACTAGTGATTTTTCTATGAAGGAAAACATGGCATCAGGATTGGAGGAAGACTCATTAACAACCTGTGATTTGCAGATACTACAACCTTGCTTGCTGAAAGTGAAGAGGACTTAAAAT